TTAAATTTCCTAATAAAATGATATAAATTATAATGAAAAATTTATTGTGCAAAAATAATAAATGTTAATGAAATAATAGAATTTTTTTTAAAAAGAAGAAGACGAGTTAGACGTCTTTTTTGAAACGTATGTTTGATACATATTTAACTATTTTCGATATCCATTTGGACCATTTGATATGACAACAATACAGTTTTTGAAACAAGCTTCTACATGATATAGAGGATTTGTGGATTCGGATAGCACATGATCGTCAATGAATTTTACAAGTTAGGATAATACTGAAATTCTCAAAATATTATTTTCAAAAGGCCTACTTTGACACGTCATAACTTTTGCTATTGTTAACCACTTCACACGCCATTAATAAGTGAAAAACTAGGCCATGAGCACTTCGAAATGATATTAAGAATATAATATTTCGATTTCATTTGACATCCCGTAACGAGTGTGATATGATCTGGGTTAGACCAAAGTCGGCCGCATAGTATACTTCTAGACCAAAGTTGCAATTCTCTCGCGACAATCCTATTTTGATTCAATTTTTTATTTTTGGCAAGTTTATTATTTTAGGACTCTTAAATCAGGTTTTTTTTTCCATATTTTTAGATTTTAGTATAAATAGGAAATTTATTTCATTATTGTATTCCGGAAGACTTTGATATTTGAGAAATTAATTCGAGAGGCTTTTGCTTTCAATCCTTGTTCTTGTGTGGAACAAATCTGAACTTGTCAAGATTCAACATCTTGTGGCATTCAACAATTCGGGTAAAATTCAATTAATTGTGTAATCAAAAGGTCCTTTGTATCTTTATTATCTTGGAATTGTTTGATCCATTAATTGGTTGGGTTAAATCCAAATCCGGATTAAATTTATAAGTTTCGTGATCAAAAGGCCAATAGTTTAATATACTATTGGTTGTTTGGTCCGCAAATTTGTGAATTGAATCCTAAACTTTGATTTTTTTGGCTTTGTTGGGGTTTGTGCAATTCTTCTGTGGGTTCGTTAGTGTTTGTTGCAACCAGGTTCGCATCAGGTGGTATTAGAGCTTAGGCACCAGAATCAAAGTTATATCCCTTTGTTTTTTTTCTTGTTTTGGATTCTTTGTTTTGTTCTTCGTGTTTTCCATTAGTTTTGAGTATTAAATCTAAAATTTTAGGTAGTTTAATTGTATTTGTGTTTTTCTAAAAAAAATAAAATAAAAAAATAACTTTTTTACTGTTCCGATACTGTTCACGGTTTTAAAAAAAAATCTTTGGGTCCCTCAAAAAATTTTATTTAATTTCTTAGTCCTTCAACTTCCTAATCTTGAATCTTCAACAATTCAATTGTTACCCCACAATTTTACTCTGAGTACTTGTTTTTAAGATCATTGATTGGAAGTAATTGAAAGGTAAAAAGTTGAGTGGTGAGTCCAATTGAGGGTAAATCCTAATTTTGAGTGATTCCCAAGTGAAATTTTGGTCAGGCGGAAAAATTGTGAGAATGTAAGAACGGGAAGGATCCACTTCAAGCAGGATGGGAAATCAAAATAACGTGACAGACGATATGATGTAGCGGTTTGGGCTCATGATAATTAGTGTAGAGAATAGGTTGGACAGGCTAGACGCTACGGTTACAAACCTTAACCGGGGTCAACGGGCGGACATACCACATGCTAGGAGGCCGGCTAGACGAGAGCATAGGGTAGATATGTAAAATGAATATGGGCATGACAGTGAATGGGATGATGATGAATTTGAAGAAGTAGAGATGGGACGGATGAGGAATAAAGGTGGTAGGTTTGAACGAAGGGGTAGAAACTGTGGGGGAGACGACGGTGATGGAGGTATGGGTAGCATTAAAATGTCAATTTCAACATTTCGGGGTAGGAGTGACCCAGAGGCATTTCTTTAGTGGGAGAAAAAGGTGGAGTTGATATTTGAGTGCCACAACTACTCGGAGGAAGAGAAAGTAAAGCTTGCAGTCTTGGAGTTCACTGATTACGCCATCACTTGGTGGAATCAGGTGGTCACTTCACGGCGGAGGAATAGGGAGAGGTTGATAACTACTTGGGATGAGTTGAAAGTGGTGATGAGAAAACGGTTTGTGCATGGCTACTATTATAGGGAGCTTCATCAAAGGTTGCACGGGTTGTACCAAGGGTCGAGGAGTGTGGAATATTACCATAAAAAGATGAAAATTTTAATGATTGAAGCTATTGTGGAGGAGGACCGAGAAGCCACCATGGCACGATTCCTGAATGGGTTGAACAGAGACATCGCCAATATTGTTGAATTTGCAGCATTATGTGGAATTAGAAGATATATTGCATGTAGCAATAAAGGTTGACAGACGGTTCAAGAGAAAAGGGGGAACTGGTAATCAACAGGGGCCTAATTCATCGTAGAGATCTAGGTGAGATAAAGAGAAGGTTGATGGGGCTGTTCTCAATAATAAAATTGAACTACCTAGGGGAAAGGATAACAACGCTAGCAAGGTTGCACCAAAGGCGGAACCGCAACAACCTAGAAATCAGGACATCAAGTGCTTCAAGTGCTTGAGAACAGGACACATTGTTTCTCAGTGTCCAAACAAACGAGCCATGATTTTGAAATACAGTGGGGAAGTGGTGAGTGACAGTGATGAAGATGGAATGCCCAAGTTAGAAGATGTTAGCGATGATGACGGGGTGGAGTATCCAGTTGAAGGGGACGCATTGGTGGTGATACATGCACTTAGTTTGCAAATCAAGGCGGATGAAGAGGAGCAACAACAAGAGAATATTTTCCACACATGATGCCACGTGGAAAATAAGGTATGTAATTTAATAATTGACGGAGGTTGTTGCACAAATTTAGCTAATACCACATTAATCGATAAGTTAGGTTTAAGAACAATTAAACACCTAAAATCATATAGATTACAGTGGATGGATGATCATGGAGAGGTTAAGGTGAACAAGAGGGTGTTATTGAATTTATCAATTAAGAGGTATAAGGATAAAGTGTTGTGTGATATTGTGCCTATGGATGTGGGGCATATATTATTGGGTAGGCCTTGGCAATACGATAGGAAAGTGAAGCATGGTGGATTTAGAAATAGGTACAACTTTGACATAGATGGGAAAACAATTACACTTGTCCCTTTGACACCACAACAAGTGTACGATGATCAGCTGAGGCTGAAAAACGATGAGGGGAAAATGAAAGAAAAATGAAAAGGGAACTTATATGCAAAGAAGAGTGAGCTTGGTGGTGGAAGGGAGTTGGTGAAGGCTAACACATCCCTCCCCAGTTTGAAATATTCTTTGTTGCAATAACATAAAAATTTATTACATGAGAAAGCACCATTTAAGTATTTTATTGATGGACAACAAATGGAGCAATTTTGGAGCATTGAAGAGGAATTAATCAACCACTGGAACGCGGGGTACAAGAAGCTTAATCAAGGTTTCAACATTGATCAAGCAAATAGAAGGAGCATAGTCTATGAACCAGGTGCAGATTCGAGGTTGAATCTTATCGAAGGGAGAGGGGATGATATGATCCGGATTAGGCCAAAGTCGGCCGCATAGTATACTTTGGGACCAAAGTTGCAATTTTCTCGCGAGAATCCTATTTTGACTCAATTTCTTATTTTTTTGCAAGTTTATTATTTTAGAACTCTTAAATCAGTTTTTTTTCCCTAGACTTTAGTATAAATAGAAAATTTATTTCATCATTGTAATATGGAAGACTTTGATAATTGAGAAATTAATTTGAGAGGTTTTTGCTTCCAATCATTGTTCTCGTGTGGAACACATCTGAACTTATCAAGATTCAACATCTTGTGGCATTCAACAACTCAGGTAAGATTCAATTAATTGTATAACCAAAAGGTCCTTCGTATCTTTGTTATTATGGGGTTGTTTGATTCATTAATTGGTTGGGTTAAATCCAAATTCGAATTAAATTTATAAGTTTCGTGATCAAAATGTCAATAGTTTTTAATATACTATTAGTTGTTTGGTCCGCAAATTTGTGAATTGAGTCCTAAACTTTGATTTTTTTGACTTTCTTGGAGTTTGTGTCATTCTTTTGTGAGTTCGTCAGTGTTCGTTGCTATCGAGTTCACATCATAGTGTATTAAAGTAGATCATAAAGGTTTAAAAAAAAAAAATCTGAGACAAATTTTTGTGGGGTCATTTCACCCCACATGACCCCATGTGGGTCCGCCCTTGCTTTTGATCCATTTAATTTTATGCAGCTCTTTGTTTGGCTTTTATTTTTTTTTTAATTTATTTTTTTCTAAACTCATTTTTTATCCCACATTCTCATAATAAAATAATTTTTATCTGTGAACCCATAATTTTTTTGAAAATTTTTAACCATACATTCTTAAGTGCCTGTTTGGTTTTATTAAAAATTTTAAATTACTTGCTACAGTATCATTCTCCATCACATATTCACACAATAAAATATTCTACATATAAACTAATGAAGTTTCTTTATTTTTTAACCACGCATTCTCCAAAAAATACTGTTCTTAACTCTTTAATTTTCCAAATAATGGGTGACAAACGGAGCTTAAAAAAATATCAAAATTCACAAAATCTATTCTAAAAATTTATATATTAAACAAACTCTTAAATTCATATGCATTTCAGTATTTAGAATAATGTATACTTTCAATAGTTATATTATTAATTTATATTATAATAAAAATAAATGTTTGATTATAATAATTTTAAAGAAACACAAATACAAACCAATCTATACTACAAATTACTTTCGGACCATTAAGATATTTTTTGGACAAAATACGAAGATTTGTAGTAAGATTCTAAAGTTATATAAAAATTAGAAAGCAATTATTATAAAAAATTTATAATCTCCAAATATATTATTTAAAAACGAAAACAAATATATTAAAAAGGAATATCATAACCACTTTAGAATTTTAGCCGAATTTTTGTTTCTACATTGACAAAGGGGCAGGTCCGTAAATTCAATTTTCCATAACCTTCTTCATATTCAATACTACATCACCTCTCTCATGCCCAAAAGGAAAAAAACTCCCCAAGAAGAACAGCTCCTCTCCCTCTCTCTCAAGCAATACACACACACTTATATAGATATAGAGAGAGAATGGGGAGCAAAAAGTTTGCTGTTCTTCTTTGTGCAGAGGATTCAGATTACGTGAAGAAACTATACGGAGGTTATTTTGGGGTTTTCGTGCAAATGCTGGGTGAAGAAGGCGAAACATGGGACATGTTTAAGGTTTCAAAAGGCGAATTTCCTGAAGATAACGAGATCGGAGAGTACGATGGATTTGTTATAACCGGTAGTTCTAATGATGCCCATGGTAATGATTTATGGATCTGTAAACTCGTAGTTTTGTTGAAGAAATTGGATGCGATGAAGAAGAAGGTTCTAGGCATTTGTTTTGGTCACCAGGTATTCTTAAATTTTTCTGCACGCCACTTTCGTTTTACTTGGCACTTAGTTTTTCGTGTATTTGAAATTCATCTGTATACAGCTATCCTTGTTTTCCGGTGTTAATGTCGTGCAGTTCTCGTTTTATAATATAGTACTTTTATAAGAATCGTAACGTTGAACTAGACATGATGAATGTTTGTTTGGTGGAGCTCTTGAAAATTAAAAGTTATTTTAAATATGTTTAAATAATTTTTTAGAAGTAATTTGTTTAGTATAAATTTTCGTGAAAAGTTGTCTTCTATTTCAAACGAATCCTATATATAGGGCCGTTTGACAGTGATTTTTTGATCGTTATTTCACTATTTCAGCCTTAAAATGTGGCCCCCACTTTTCTCTAACGATCAAAAAAATCAATTCTTAAAATCGCTCCCAAACGGGGGCATAATATGAGTCTGTTTGTTTGTTTTAGTCGACTGCATTTTCAGTTTTGTGTTTACACTTTTCTACAATGGGACAAATTGTTCTAATTGAGATTTTTTTTTTTTTTTTTTTTTTTTTTAAATCTTGGAGCTTATCAATGGACACAAGTTGTTTATATAATTTAAAACTTGAGGAAATAAAATATAAATTAAAGACATATTTCAAAAAAAGACTGAAATTAATGGTAGCATTCTATAAATTTCCAAACAGAATTTGGAAATTATATGGAAATATATTTTTCAATATATATTTTTCAATAATATTGAGGTAAAACATAGAATAGTTGATGGCTGTCAAATCATTTCATTTGATTTTGGAAAGTAGAAAGAAATTCCAAATACTATTAATTTGTCTCTTTCGTGACAAATTTGGCATTAGTGTTATATAGTTGACATTCGAATTTAATTGTTGACCCGAGCATGTGACTAATAATAGTATAATAATAATAGATGGATTCAATTTTTCAAGCTCGGGTTGAGCTGTGTTTGAGTTGCATTTTTATGTGTAAGGAGATTTCGTACATTTTGACAACTCTAAGTAAAATACGAAGAGAGAAATGACATAAATAGATATTGTTTTGGATCAATATGGTGGTCCAAAATGCCCTGGGTGTCATGGCTATGCTTTATGTATGGTTAAGACAAGTTTGTGTTATCCACTCGTAAAGAATTTATAGTAGTGTGTGTACATAGCACATACATATTTGGCCTGCCTTAAAATTTTGGGTCTGGGAGGTTCGTTTGATGAGATTTTTGAAAAATTAAAAATTCTCTCTGAAAGTAACAAAATACTTTTGAATATATTTTAATAATTTTTTAAAGCGTTCTACAAATTTTACAAGAAACTATTCTATACGTATTTCTTCAATGAAAAACAAAAATGAATACAGAACCTTACCAAATGGGTCGTAAAGATGTATGGAATAATTCATGATTGGCACATTAATTTAGTGAGATCCAACATCATTTCTCTTTGATTTTGCAAATTAGATGACAACCACTCTCTCACACACATACACAGTACTCATGTATATAACAGATAAAAAGTGACTGATCCTTTGGTTCCTATCGTGGGGTGATTAGGATGTTCAATTATATCCCAACAAGTCATAATCATGCTTTCCATGTTCATGCATCCTTGGAATCTTCCACTTTCCTTTTTCTATCAAATGCACTGAAGTAAAAGAACACGCGGTGGTTATTTTTCTACTTAGTAATCATAAACGAGTATCATCTGTTACGATTTATATACATGTTACATTTAATGTTTATTGACTTATAATGTGTACCAAGCAACTTGGTTCGTTGTGTAATGAAGTCATGTCCAATAAATAGTTGATGAATGATACAAGCAACCTTTATTTTTGTTAGATATTGGGACGAGCTTTGGGTGGCAAGACTGGTCGCGCCACTTCTGGTTGGGACATCGGAGTTACACAGGTTCATTTACAATCATCAAAGATCTTCGCATCTCTGAAAATGCCGACTTTCTTATCGGTCATTGAATGCCACCAAGATGAGGTATTTCCGACCATTTACACAACCTCCAACTTGAAAATTAGTATCTCAATGAGTGAAATATGGTTTAGGTCTGGGAGCTCCCTCCAAAAGTGGAAGTTATAGCACGGTCGAACAAAACTGGGATTGAAATGTTTAAATATGGTGACCATATCATGGGCATCCAAGGTCACCCCGAGTACACTAAGGACATTTTGTTGAATCTAATCGACCGTCTTCTCAATCGCAATCTCATTAAGGTATATTTTTGTGTCCAGCAGACTTGCTCAACTCTTATCAACTCTATACATTTATTTATTGTATCTATCTGTGCAGGAGCCTCTTGCGGAAGAGGCCAAGTCCAAGTTGGAGGCTAATGAGCCAGATAGAGAGGCATGGAAGAAACTATGTACCAGCTTTCTCAAAGGGAAATTGTGATAAGAATTGAAACTACCAAAATGGAAATTGTAAATAGAATATTTGGCTCTTTGGTCAGAGAATTTATTGACTTTTGTGTCTTCTATTATTAGAACCTTGTCCTAACACATTCCTCGTGACTAATATAAGATGTTATGTTAGACTCTTTGGGTCAACTATGTCATCCATTCTAATTAAACAATGTTTATTTTATTCGTCGTATAGATAATTCTTCTAAAGTCTATGGTTATTCAAAGTTTAAACAATGCTTAAAAGACTGGCATTTTAATTACTATAAAATGTTAAAACCACGTACAGAAGGCTAGATGGGAATAGAGAACTGTCGAAGAGGCAATTGACGGAGTTAATGACTTGAGAATGAAATGGAATCAGTATGAATTATCCCATATTTGATATGACAAATAAAAAACAGTAGAATGGACTCCAAATTCTGCATTGGAGAGCTGTAAGCCTGGGATATTGGTGTCTAGTCGAAGATATCCCATCAACTGACTTTATGCATACAATCCCATCGAACCTAAAACAAAGTTCGATCATGACAAAACCCAATTTCTTTAACATACTGTTTTGGCTATTTATATTGATGGTACTCAACCATAGAGGTTGACATCGGGGACGACATACCACACACACGTGGGGGAGGTCGGATTATTTTATTCATGGGAATCCACCATCTCGAATGTGAGTACTATATCATCCATTGTGTCAAGAGCTATGTTCATTTGGCTTAATTCTTATATTGATATGGTGTATAACATGATAAACATATTTATGGGGATGCTTTTTTGACCGCACCCCACCCCTTCCAGAAAGGAAAATGAAGAAAAAGTGGAAGCAGAAAAGATCAAGCAACTGAAGCCAATAAAGCAATAAAGAATGAAGCCATACGTCCATTTAGCACCATGGTTGCATTTTAAAATTATTGTTATCGTCAACATAATAGTAATTCCATATCAAACGAGCATCTGAATGTCTACCAAAAGGTAGCGTCTGCTATGGTTCCACTGCAACCAACTCGTAACCAACATAATGATGCATCAAAGCATATGAAGCAGGGACACGAGGCTTAAGAAACATATCCATATAGAACCGGCACTTGCTAATGTCATTGCCATAGCTATTCAAGCACTGCAGAAGAAATCAAACATTAAATATATGTATCAGAACTTTCTGTCGGTAAGGTGCTGTAATTCATAGTATTATTAAGAACATGCTGGGAAGAAACTCAAATGTAGAAGGAAGCAGAAAAGACTCGACAAAAAACATTGTTCCTTCGGACCTTTGGTTATCACTCTCTATGAAATACCAATCTACCACGAAACATAGGCACAGCATATCTCAAGATATCTCATCATGTAAAACACTGAGAATGTTTTGGCTCAATGGATTCTAGAACTTAGTATCAAGCAGAGTAGGATTCTCATTGCATAGTATCAAGCAGAGTAGGATTATGCCGTAAGAATTGTTAAAAATTATGTTGGTGGAATGATACCGGGTTTTCTCATACCGGTTTATAATATTAGTTAATTACACAATAACTAAATTATCATAAACCACAATATATTAATCTAATTTAGAACTAAATATATTAAGTTATGTAAAACACGTTAATTTAATACATCTAAACGGGAAAGTTGAAAATTAACAGAAATTTCAGAGAACAAAAAAAATTAACGACATGCTTATAATTTCATATAAACTTTTAACCCAAGGCCTGTGTAAACACAGTGTCCTTAAATCAGATTCGCCCTCTCACCGTACGTTCTAGATACTACTAGACAAGGATACAACGGTATATAGTAGAATCTTAGCTTCTGTTTCGCAGGATACAACGGTATATAGTAGAATCTGAGCACCGCAAATATTACTCTGGCGAACAATATCACCACAAGAACAAGACCTTACTGGACAAGGAATGCAGAAAAAAGAAACTGCGTATGCAGGAATGTAGGTGAGATTTTTGAGTGTGTTAGATTGCTGGAGAATGAGCTTTTTTATAGGTATACTGTCCATTAACATTGTGACCATTGGAATTACTACCCATTGGGAGTCCATTGGAGTTTTTGCAGTTTAAGAAACTCAAAAGTCATTGGAGAAAGTAAAAAAAATTGCAAAACGTGGACTCTCCGAAGGGACGAATTTTGCCTTGTTCGATCCGTAGGTCGCGCCCGCACTCAAGTTCAAGGTCCGAAGGCCATTTCGGTCCGAGATTTGCACCCCCCTGCGCGCACACGTTGAAAGAGTCTCTATGCTACACATGATTACATCATTCCAAAGTGTAGACATATATAAAGTGGTTCATGCTTTCTTCATTTTACTATGTAGGACAAATGTCACTTTTCCCACATAAACCATCTTCCAATGGCCAATTTTGAGCTTAAATTTCTCATTCATTTTTTAATCGATTTCGACAAGTAAATATATGGTTTCGATGCTCTCACGGAGGAGAACACAGATCAACTTTGATCTTCCAAATCGGACCAATGTGTCCCACTCAAACTTATGCCAAAAGTGACCCATTTACTCATTTTTCCAACAAGAATAACTACCAAGTGATGCTTAATTTGAAGATGTAAGTTAGAATGATGTATAAAGTTTAAGATTTCTGCAATTATGTAAATTTTATACTACAACGAACCAACAATGGGAGATAAGAGTCAAACACATATCTTGGAATGCCTTCGACTTGATGCTGCAAGCATCTGATCCACCCATGGTAGTTGCAGTGGGTGCTGGTGCTGCAGCTGCTTCAGAAACAACAGTTTCGTGTTGAATCGTTCGAGGACCCATAATAGCATCAACAGCCCTGTGCGCCACTGCACTGCTGGTACCGAAAGCCATTCCTACAGAGCAAAAAAATGAAAAAAATAAAAATGAAAATGAAACATATGCATTAACATCTTCTTTGTTCATTCTACGAGAGAGATAATATACAAGTAAGAAAAATTAGAGCTAATCCCAATGTACCTTATGCTATGGTAGAACCAATGTTTCCAAGCACAGATCCACCCGTGTTCCCTTGAACTGGAGCTGGTGGAGGAGCATTATTCACTGGAACAATCCACAACAAAACAATGAGATACGAAGGAACATAACAACCATTGACATGCAATGTTAAATACAAATTGAGCCCAAAGACAGGAGAACATATAAAGGAGACCAATTAACTAATGGAGATTATTTTGTAACATGTTCCAAGTCCTTAGATAATTGTCAAATGATACAGTGAAGTAGATTAGAGATACCTGGTTGAGGGGGTGGGTTACGTGTTGCAGCTGGACGTGCGGATCTTCTTGAAAAATTATGAAAGTGTGAAAAATTGAAATTTTATAAACATGGGGAATCGAATACACCAAATGACACTTTCAACAGTGTGATAGCACTGGACACAACATAAGTTATGGTCCAACATCATAGGTATTGAAATGCAAAATCACTTTGGCCTTAAATTTATGCATGTATAAAGTGATATTAAAGTAAGACCTCGGGAGTGTTCTACCCTACATCAAGGATACAGGAGAGCAAGAAACTGGGCTGATGCAGTTTACTCTCGAGTGCAACCAAAGATATTGAACACTGTAACATCTAAGGCGAAGAAGTTGGGATACAAAGTGAGGAGGAACTAGGATAGGATTGAAGATATCGAAAAAGATGAGGATTGAATATACAGGGTTTCATTTGTAACTAGAGATTGATTGGTGAATAAAAATTGATATTTCTTCTCCCTAAATTTTTTTCTATTTTCTACCATTTCTTCTCCTCTCTTCTTCTCTTCCCTGTTTCCACTTTTGCGTTAAATTCTATTCCAAACCCGTAAGTTTCAGCACCTATTTAGGCTTTTAAATTTTTAAAGAATGGCCTCAGAGGGGAGTTCTGGTTCGGGGAGGGGTTTAAAAATAGTGAAGGTGGTCGTTTCCATATGTTCTCCCCCCCCATTATTACCTCGGCTATTTCTGAGGAAGTCGCCACAATGGGCTCGTCCACCCTCACTATTTCTAAACCCCTCCACGAACCAGAACTCCCCTCTGAGGCCATTCTTTAAAAATTTTAAAGCCTAAATAGGTGCTGAAACTTACGGGTTTGGAGGTTTTCCTAGCCGAAAATGGTGTAAGGTCGCCGAAAGTCTAGTTTTCTCGCCGGAAGTCTAGTTTTTCTCGTCGGAATTGCTTGCAAAACTTCGAAAATCGTCAGTAATTCGAGAGCAAAGTATAATCTTAGTTTTGCAAGGGTAAAAAGCCTGAAAAAACCCCAGAGTCCTCCTTTTATAGAAAAACAAATCCTATCTCCACCGTTGAATTCAAATGCGATCAATCTAAGTCGTTCGTCGCATCCTCGATCTAGGCCGTTGAAATGAAACGCCATATTTGATCTACGCCCAAGATGTCGCTGTGACTTTCACGCTTGCATGAAACGCTTCACCTCGGTTACAACCAGCCGTCAATAATAATTAGTAGCCGCAACAACCTTTTAGGAGAATGGGCATGGCACCCAACTGTCACCTTGAAAACACGCAACAGTTGTCAAATCATTTGATGTTTGAGTTGCCTCGGATTGAGCTCCTCCTCCAATTTTACAAAGTTTGGACGCACCTGACGTGAAGGCCCTTTTGGGTCATCGCCTCGGACGCTGCGTTTCCTCCCATACTTTACAAAGTTTCAGCCATTTCCCAACGCGTCAACCTTTTGGGTCAGCGTACCGGTGGCAGATGAGCTCCTCCTCCAACTCTACAAAGCTTGGACGCACCTGACGCAAAGTCTCCTTTTGGGTCATCGCCTCGGACGCTGCGTTTCCTCCCATGCTTTACAAAGTTTCAGCTATCTCCCAACGCGTTGACCTTTTGGGTCAGCGCACCGGTGGCAGATGAGCTCCTCCTCCAACTTTACAAAGCTTGGACGCACCTGACGCGAAGGCTCCTTTTGGGTCATTGCCTCGGACGTTGCGTTTCCTCCCATGCTTTACAAAGTTTCAGCCATCTCCCAACGTGTCGGCCTTTTGGGTCAGCACACCGATGGCAGATGAGATCCTCCTCCAACTTTACAAAGCTTGGACGCACCTGATGCGAAGGCCCCTTTTAGGTCATCGCCTCGGAAGCTGCATTTCCTCCCATGCTTTACAAAGTTTCAGTCATCTCCCAACGCGTTGACCTTTTGGGTCAACGCACCGGTGGCAGATGAGCTCCTCCTCCAACTTT